ATTTACTTTTAGTTGTGTATAAATTTTTGAGTTCTTATTGTGATTAATCTTAATGTAATTAAAATTATCTGTATTTATGTTGAACAATTCCTCAACCGCATTAGTATGATCTTCGCAGTCAATGTAGTTTGTCTGCTTTTTTTCCTTCTTCGCTTTAAAACAGACCGATGATAGATGACCCTTCACGTTGCAGAACGAGCACGTCGAATTTTGGTGTGGGCATTTGTTAGCGCGATGTTCACTTTTGCCACATCGAAAACAGAACCCGCTCATTTTCATCTCGTCAACTTTAGTCTTGTTTGCTTTTGAATTTGCTGAATTCATGATCGTTATCTTTTTGCCTTTCTTATTCTTTTGCTGAATGTAATTTATTGGCGATTTGACGTCTTTTTGCTGCTGAATTTCCGCACCGCCTTTTGCCGATAGCTCCATCGCTTTTGCCGTAGTTAACGCTGCATCCATTTTTAAATCCTTTGTCTCCAGCAATCGATTCTGGATCCGTGTGCTGCGCAGACCGAATACGAATTGGTTTCGCAATGCAGTTTCCAAATATGTGCCGAAGTTGCAATTTATTGCCAACTTCCGTAACGCTATCGAAAACTCTTCTACTGACTCACTCTCATTTTGTTTGCGTAGGTGGAATCGGTAGTTTTCCATTATCTCTAATGGTGCTGGATCGTAAACGTCAGAGATGATTCTTTTTATTTCCGCGTAAGTTTTTTCCGCTGGTGTTGCTGGGGCTAATTTGTCATACAGCATGTCGTATGTTTCTTGCCCCATGTAAATAAGCAGCAATGATTTGTTTTTCTCGGAGACTTCAAGCATCGTTACAGTCTCCTCAAAACGTGCCACCCAACGAGACCATTGCATTGTTGCCTTGTCGAATTTCTCGAAAACGGCGTAGTTGGTCATCTTTTTCCTTCAATTGAAATTTGTAGTGTACTTTGTTTTACAATGTATATTCGTGATTACTTCACGTTATTGTGGTTTAAAACAAAACGATGACCGCGAAATTTGTGGATTTTTTTTTCTCCTCGTCGCCACTTATTGTGTTTTTGGTAAAAACACGTTTTTATATTTATTTTCTTTCTTTTCTCGATTCAGCAGAACTTATGATTATGTGTATATATATCTACATGGGTGCGTTCCCTTCCATAGTAATCGTACATGAGTGCGTTTACCAAAGTAATTAGTATAGGAGCATGTTCACATACAAAGTATATAACAGTGCGTATTCACGCACAACGTATATAACACATTGTTACCGACACATTGTTATATGCAGGGTGTCAGTGATGTAGGTAACGATGTTTAACTGGGGATTAGTGTTAGCCAGAGTTGGTGAAAACGGCCCTTAATAATGATCGGGCATGGAGTTTTAACTTCTAAAATGTCTTTTCTGTGAGCCGTTTTGAACATCGCCAAAATTATGTGCGAAAAGGCGGAAGTAACTACACTCGCTACTTTTTACGGCTGCCAGAGAAATATTGCAGAGCTGTAACCGGATTGCTTACGGGGCTTATCCTTGTGGCTGCTCATGCTAAAAAATGGGTATCACTAGCGTGGAAAGGTGCAGGAAAGGTTGTGAGCGGGAGACCAGGGAAACCTTGGAGCATCTTCTCTTCCGATGTTCTCAAATGTCAAAAACACGACTAAAATTCTTGGGGGCTTACTAATTCGATAAGTTGGAGGCCATCTCAAAAGTAGAGCGGAATTCGCAGTAGATAAAAGCAATGCCCAAAAAACAGGTGATCTCAGCTATAGGCATTATTTGATAATTAGTTGTACTTATGAGACTGTGCGATGGTCCCAGTTCGTCCTCGTACAAAAACTTTGTACATACTTAATGAGACCAACCGTACTTCTTTCGGAAGTACAGTACTTCTTTTTTCGCTCTTGTACTTCGTATTTCGAAGTACAGTCAAATGTACTTCTTTACGATATTTTGTACTTCTGGAGGGAGATTCTGTAACCAGTTAGCGACAATTTTCTCTGATCTTCTAGACGATCGTCATATGGCCTGGGCGATAAATTGGTTCAAACCCTTAAAATGCTGGGGACCAATGCCATCATATCTGCGTAGCTGCAAAGGGCTCTGAAGGTGTCGTGCAATTGGTTGGATCCTATTTAAGCGAACTGCGTGAGGACCGGGTACATCCCCAAGGCTTGGAGGGTAGTCAGTGTTGCGTTCATCCCGTAGGCCGGAAAAGTCGCTCATGTTTCACCTAGGGATTTTAGGCCTATTAGTCTCTTCGTTTTTGCTAAAAAGGCTTTTACTAAAAACGCTAAAGAGACTGATAGACCTGTACATAAGAAACGCGATTCCTCGTTACTGTCTTTCAAGAGGAGCTCAATATATTTATTGCAAGCAAAGGTCGGTAAATACCGCCCTCACACAAGCGTAAAGTGATCAGAGGAAGCCTTCACGTGTGAAGATTATGCAGTAGGGCACTTCTTCGATATCGAGGGGGCCTTCAACAATGTCACTCCAGAGGCAATAATCTAGTATATTCATAGTCCGGGGGTCGAAAACAAACTAATAAGGCTTATCTACAGCTTACTTCGTGACAGATCTGTCGCTGCGGAGCGTCTGCACTCAGTACAGAGTTAATAGGATTACTCTCTCTCTCCTGCTTTAGATTTGGGTTGCAAACGACCTTCTAGAGGAACTGGAAAAAGTGCGCTGTCTGATGATCGGTTCTGTAGATAATGTGGAACTTTTGGTTAAAGGACGATTTGTATACACCATTTTTGATCTGGCTCAAGGTTACCTGAACCAGGTAACTAGGTGGCGATCATCGGCGGCTGTCGTGGAAGCCTAATATTGAGGAAAGGGTAGGAATGGAATGTGGTTGCCTTGTACTGCTGTATGGGAGCTATCGGTAAAAGGTGGGGTCTGTCGCCCAAATTAATTCATTAGCTCTATGACACCAGATTTAAGCCTATATTGTTTCAAGGAATTCTTGTCTGGTGGAACTCACTAGAGAAGGTTACACTTGTAAAACAGGAATTAGGAGTTAACGGAGCATTAGGAACCACACCTACACTGGCGCTTAACATACATATGTTGAACACGGCGCCAGCGGATATTGACAGAATTGTTGCAGCAAGAACTGCTATGAGGCTAAGGGAAGCCGGGTTCTGTGTTGACATAAACAAGTAAAAGAAGATGTTTCTCTGCTGCCGATGCCGATTAATCGGCTTAAGGGCAAAGAATCGGCCGATGCCGATTCCTTAAAAAACCATCTTGAATTTTAATTTATTGAAAAACAAATCTGTGTTCGTATGGAATAGTAGCTTATGTCGAAAGGCTGGTTTTAGTATAATGCGGCATTCGTAGCATACGATTGCGAATGACTCACTGGCGCCGAACCGTTGAAGAACTTTTGGAAAATAAACGTGCATGAAATAGTTCCGATACTAGCAAGCTACTATTCTTATTAAATAACATCAAAAAATCCTTATCGTTTAAAGAATAAAGGGAATGCCGCATTATACTAAAGCCACTATTCCATACGAACACAGAAATGTTTTTGATAAACCTTTATAATAACAAAAGAAAAACATTAACAAATAACATTACAAAGAAAATGATCATTCAAGAATCTATTCACTTATTTATATACACTTTTTCTACCGGAACACGAGGACTAAAAAAAATTAAATATATGCGAGTTTTAGGAACAAATTAAATGAATTAATAACGAACTGAACGAGCCGATGTTTGCAAACCTTTTTATATTTTTAACCGACTTCCAAAAAAAAAGGAGGTTATCAGTTCGTCGGAATATTGTTTTTTTTTTTTATGTATGTTACCGCATAACTATGGACCACGTCAACCGATTTCGATAATTCTTTCTGCATCGGAAAGGTAGTCTCTCAGAGGTGGGCCCATACTAATCTGGTTTAGATCCGATCAAGGGATCATGAAATATATATGTATATATATTTTTTTGTAGATATATGAGAATTGAAGTCGGTTTTGCTTTTTGCTAAAAATTACTTGTTTTATTGTTTATTCCACATTCCACCGAAAATGTTGAACGCGTCTTTTCTGTTCAGAATCTGATAAAAACTTAACGTAGTAATAGATTACAAGTAATTACCCTCGGTTCTTTAATAAAAGCAAAATATTATATCAAATCTTCTCAAAGTTTTTGTCATGACTTACGATCTCGCAGAAAGTGGAATGCTTGCCTAATTTTTCTCTACTTTTAAAACATATATGTATATTTTTATTAGATTTTTATTTAAAGGCGTTAAATAAAAGTGTATTTATATATACGTGTGTATGTTTTAAACATTGCCTGTTTTTATCAAAGCATTAAAGATTTTTTGTTGGTAGATTTTTATTTGATTTGGTACATTTTTTTCTGGCGTTTGGTAGAATTTCGAAAAATTCATTTATCATCCCTGGTCTACTGTCTGAAATGATGAACGGCATGAGCATAATTTGTTCACAGCATGATACAATAATAATTTTTAGAAGGTAGTTTCACTTCAAAATTTTTGACATAAACCGTGTCTGTGACAAACACGCAATGTGGCCATTGCTACGATATAGTACTTGGGGATTTTCGCTTGTTATTTTAGATATTTTTTAACAGAACATGTAAAGATTTATATGTTTCATAACTGATCACTTAATTTTTAATATAAATATACGTATTTAATACATACATTTTTGCCACTGCTAGTCACATGAATAAAAATCATAAAAATGAAAATATAACGGCAATATTTCTTGTTTATAATGGATTAGTTCCATTGCACACCACGGACTATATCGGCCGCCAATTTAGATGGGCTCGCTAGTCTTTCCATTGCACCACAACTTATTGGTCGGAGCGATTAAGCTAGTGTAGTGTGCGCACCTCCATACATCTTCATGTACATATTTCAAGCGAGCACTATTATTTAAATAGGCGGCCGATAAAGTCTGTGGTATGCGATGGCTCTTATAGCTGTATCCTTACATCTATTCCGTGTGTTGCAATATCCACGAAAGCAGCAGTTAATTTTTTATGAAGAAAATTATTAAAAAATATTCGAAAATTATTATTTATTTTTCCAACGTCAAAAGCTGGATTTTTTTTTGGAAAAGTTGGTACAACAAAAAATACGAAACACGTTTTCTGTCAGATAGCTAACATGGCGGATAAGAAGAAGAAGTGAAACTACCTTCTAAAAATTATTGTATCATGGTTCACAGCAACGCTGGCCATTCACTCAGCGCCAATGTGTGTAAGTGGATAATATACCTTGTATGCCCCATTGCGCCATTTGTTTTCACACACAAGCTCATACACGTAACTGGATTTCGTTAGCTTTTTTGCTAGCCATTACAATGATCATCTCTTGCCGCTTGTTTGTTCGAAGCGTGTCGCTTTGGCTTGTAGAGGAGACTTAATTCTTTTCACTTTCGCAACTGATTCCTGCTCAAAGGGGTGGTGGTGAATGTTATATGCCTGGATTGTTAGTCAATTCATATGGGTGCTGACTTTGTGCTGCGCTTTTTGCGTAACCCTTTTCAGTTTGCTTTAAATTTATGCATTTCTCTTATTTGCACTTGGTCTTCTTTTTATTTGAATTTGAGTTTGCGTGGAGGTTGAAAAATTTACTGTGAGCTTTTATCAAAGTTTATTTAATTTCGCTGTGTGCTAAGAAATTTAACTTTCATTTTCAAGGCTGTCGCTGAGACTTGAGTGTACTTGTTAAGCAAATATTATTTAAAAATTTCATAAAAATGCATACGCTGTCATGCGTAAGCCAGACACCCAAACACACCTTATATGATTAATAATAAAGTAACATTTAGAATTAATTAAAGTAATCATATTCTCCGAAATCATTTTTCTTATGCCTACTTATATATGTATGTACATCTATATATTCGTACATATGTAAGTAGT